TATATTTTTCTTTTGCCTTCCAGCTCATTAACTATTCTTATTAGTTGTGTACCACCTCCCTACGTTATCAAGAACTTTTATTTCACTGATGTGAATACTTGTACAGACATTTGTTAATCATCACAATTATAGTAACCAGTCAGGTACTCAGCAGCAAAGCTAAAATTTCTTTCTTTTTTTTTTTTTTTTGAGATTTTTTTTTTTTAATTTATTTGAGAGAGAATGAGAGACAGAGAGCATGAGAGGGAGGAGGGTCAGAGGGAGAAGCAGACTCCCCGCCGAGCAGGGAGCCCGATGCGGGACTCGATCCCGGGACTCCAGGATCATGACCTGAGCCGAAGGCAGTCGCTTAACCAACTGAGCCACCCAGGCACCCGCAAAGCTAAAATTTCAAACTGATTTTCTCACTTGGTCACCTCTGTGCACCTATGCTTATGTTGTTGCCTCTGCTTTAATTCCCTAAGTGTAGTTCAATTTTCTGCTATACAAAATGCTCCTGTGTTCTAATGAGCGAGGAAAAAAATAATCAGATCTGTATTGAGTCTTCTGCTCTATTTGCCCACCAGATGTCTCACCTTGGGAATTCCGCCCAGTCTCACAGTTTATATTTTTGAGCATGATGCAGATGCTTCTGTGTTTCCTATAAACCTATAAGTTTGTCAGGTCATGCAGAGGAGAACATGCAAGCTAACAAGTACCTAAAGACTTTGCCACAGAACAACACTGGAGGAAGCAATGGAATATTTTTCGGCAAACCTTCTGAAAATTAAATATCTATAATAACAATTGTATTTGTTCAAATGAATAACAATCAGGTGAAAATAATTTAAGGGTTGATTTTAAGTGTTGCTGAAATTTTAGGCTTAAATTCACATGCATTTTTCGGCGTGGAAGATTTTCATTTAACAAAATTGAATTGTAACAATGAGAATTTCAGAAGATTTATTTTTAACTGATAAGTTACTATAAATTAATTAATTAATTCCATTAATATAACTTGCTTATATTAATATCAATTAATATTAATCCTATAGTAAAAGCAGAACATGAAGAATCACCTAATATCCCTGGGACTTTCTTCATCCTGTAGATTTTGCCAGCTGTCCCCTCCCTCCACTGTCTCTATCACAATGCTACTTCCATCAAGATTTAATTCAAATGTCATTATCCTCTGAAACTTTCCTGGGCCAATATTGAAGAAAACATTCATAATTACTACAGAAGTCTGATCAAATTTAAGTACAGCTTCCTTCCCACTATATACTGGGCCTAATTTCTATGTCATCTGATAACTTAGATAGTAAAGTCCTTATGAGCAAGGCCCATTTGTCCATCATCATATGACATGGAACCAGAAACAGAGCAATAATGCAGTAGAAGAATCTGCCAGAAACATGGATTTTGAATCAACAAAACAACAAATACTTACAATAAAATAATTTGAACGTTTATAGAGTTAGGACAAAAAAAAAGCTAACGTTGAATTAATGTGGAAATAAGATATAATCTATCATCACATATCATAGTTTGTATTATTCAACCAAATGTATGAGACAAACTCCAAAATACATGTAGCCTTTCTCTTCAGTTTTTCTAAAATCAAATCATTATGTTTTAAAAATATTAATAATTCTGTAAACTAGGATTTACCTGGATTTACTCAGGATTACCTTCCTGAAATATTTTATATTTTAGTTTTAAAAGTCCTCCAAAGTATATCTAGAGATGTGGCTGTCATTTAAAAAAAAAAAAAAGGTTTTCTAACTGTATTAGGCAGAAGTGCCTTATGGGGCCTCACTCTCATCTTAATAAATTTCTTATATGTCTCTTAAACATGGGAGCAACTAGGATTCAATGTAAGATTTTGTATGACAAACAAAAGGTTTAGGGTTTTTTTTTTAAGTTTAGGATGTCACCCTAAATAGCGTACATTTAACATACAGAAAATGTCTAACACATAACAAAATTACTGACCACTTGGTCAATCCCAAATTCCCTAAAATAGTAATAATAGAACTAGCAAATCCAGAATCTAAGAGGTCCCCCACATATTTACTTATATCTTAACAGTAGTTTCTTCCTCTTCGACTTTACTCGTCCAATCTGTGGGAATCTCCTCTGAATCTTCCTGTGTGGGTCACAGAATTAATGGAGTCCAAGATTTTCCTCCATGTTATAGTCTGCTCATTCTCACTGTTCAAACTCTAGCCCCAGGAATATCTCCTGTATTTCATATTAAAGCACTGCTTTAAGTGTAGTCTTCTACTATGTGAGGATGAAAATAATTTTTTCGATACCAGTTGGATCACACAATCTCAGATCTATAAATCTTTATATTATAATCTGGTATTCCATTCTATTGTAATCAAAACAGAACATCAAAGCTAGATTTGGCATAAAGATAAAATATGTGATTACCTTCAATGACTCATCCTTTGGGTTAAACATCTTCTCCAGGCCTTTCTATCAGAATACAATCCCCTGCTCAGGCCACCAGCCCCATGACCATGCCACCTATGCAGACTCACTTGGAAGGGCCCTGCGCTTAAATTAATGCTTTGATGTTGCCATCGTGAAATTCTTAGCAAGTTCTGAACAAGAGGTCTGCTTCATATTTTCACTGGACACCACAAATGATGGAACCATTCCTGCCCCTAAGAGTGATAACATCTTAAATCACAGTATAAATTGGTATGCTGAACAACTTTTCTTAAAGTCAGTAGGGAATTACAAGAGCAGGAAGAGAGATGCCAAATGCCTATGTTTCAGAGGAAACAGGAGGAAAGAAAACCTAGAAAGGAAAGCTACGTGAATAAATTAGCTCATTTCTTTATTTAATCATTACCTTTGCATACCTTCGAAGTACCATGTATTGTTCCAATGCAGAAATTACAACAATGAACAATACTGACAAAGACCCAGGCTTCAGGGAGCTTCCACTCCAAGGAGGAGACAGATAATAACCAGGTTTGTCTAAGATGGGTGGGGGACAGCAAAGGGGAGTGTTTTGAAAGAGGACTTCATATTATCTCTTTTATCTCTAGTGTTGCTACTTTTGGTAACCAGATAGAATAATAATCATTTAAGAAATTTTACTCATTACAAGTAAACTTTTATTACTAAGAGGCATTTCTCGAATATATTCTGCTTTTCTGATCATTTTTTGGCATTTTTCTTTTAGGATTTTTAGAAAGTTCACGAATCAATGCTAATTATCTTCTCTGCCATTTACAGTACAGAGTTTGAAGTGGGTAATGTAAGTCGTATACTAACTAATTTTGTAGATATTATATAATGCTCCTTTCTTCTGCCCATTCTATGCTTCCTCTTTCGTCTAAGTTTAATGTTGTATGAACTGTGCTATCATCAGACAAGCCTGTTTCAAAAGCAGCCTGAATTATTTGGATCTGGGTTTGTGTCACTGGTTCTGAAAACAACAGCAATGACAAGCAAACAAAAACATGCAAACAAGCAAACAAAAAAGCAATGCTCATAATTCTGGAAAATCGCCCCTCATACATAAGGACAGATAATCCTGGATCTTACAAAATTGTTGTCATTCTGACAGGAAATACCACTGTGGGATATCACCTAGCACACTAACGTAGGCAATCAATGGATATTTGTTGACTGAATGAAAAATTCAATGAATGATGACCAAGCACATCAAGAGCTTTCTATTAGATATCCTAAAATGAGTCCATCTCCTGGTGCTAGCACTGATTTGGAAATAAAGGTTAGATAACAGTTATTAGTCAAATAGTTATTATTATTATCAATTATTATTATTTTTCCTAGAAAGGGATATCTGTTCAAACACAAGTAACTCTCATCACTCTAACCTCCTTTTACATTAACGGTAGCTGATAAAAATGGACTCTCTCTTAGAAATAATACAGAATGTGAAAAGTAAGCACATTTGGTCAGCCTGAAGAATGGACTTAATATCCCTTAAGGAGTAAAATCAATCCAGCATGCACTGCAACTTAGAATCATGAGAAGATACAAAATCACAGGTCAATCCATTACTGGATGAAAGTCAAAATGCTACCTGACTGGAAAGGAAAAGCCGTTTAAATGTTCTCAAAACAGTATGTCTGCCGGCTACACGTGTGCTCTATGTTTTCAACACATTATTATTCACCCTCGAATTATATAGAAATCCTAAATTGAAATTCGGTCTGGTAACAAGCTGGCAAAACAAATAAAGTGTTGTCTGGATGCACACTGATTGTAGTTCACAGAATCACAGGGCTTTAAAACATCCTAAGAGGTAAGCTAGCATGTCCTCCCATGCCATAATCCTATAATTTACCTCATCTATACATTTAATTGAGAGAAAATGGGTAACATTTTTCATTTCTAACTTTAAAAGAAGGAATTTCACTCCAATATATATTTTTTTATTTAATCATTCTCATTGTGAAGAGATTCTATCAAAACATTCTTCAGAAAGTTATATCTGATTACAAGTTTAACACCTTTATTGTTGGTTTTCATTGGTGGAAAATACACTTCTTATAAATCTGTATTTTCTTCTTAGGATTAAATATTTTGTTTGTTTAACATTTCCAAAATTTGTCTTAGCTCTTTAGGCATTTGTTGTTTAACTTTATTAATTAATATAATTTTAGAGTCTATAGAGGTTTCCTAGTTAATTAAAAAAAAACTGTTATTATTTAATCTGGAAGCCTATACCTATCATCGCCAATGTTATTACTTTTATTTTCAGTATTTCTATAAAATCTCATGTAAATCTAAATCAAAATAGAAATAACAAATAGAAATAACAAAAATAGAAATCTCATGTAAATCTAAATCAAAATAAAAATATCACTTTTAACGTGATATTTATTGGGCATTCAGAATGTTAGATTTTGGTTTTAGGAAACTTAAAGAATAAGAATGAAGTCTTAGCATGGCTGAAGACTTTTGTTTGCTAAACATAAAGAAATTATTCTCAATGTGAACATCTTTTGTATCACAAATATGCTTCTTACCTGTGCTGCTGGATATATTAACATCAATACTGATATCAGATATTCCTCCTCCCTTCAGAGATGCTACACATGTGTATGTCCCAAAATCCGTGAATTTTAAATCAATGATGTCCAAGTTTGTCGTTCCCGGGGAGACATCCGGATCAGTCTGTGTAATAACCATCCGCTCAGAACTTCTTAATGGGCGACCATTTTTAAACCAACTAAATGTTAACTCCTCAGAAGGAACAGCTTCTACTTGGCAAGATATTTTCACCTCACGCCCAATCTGGATGTTGTCATCTTTGTGATAAGGATCTGGTGTGATCCAAAATCGTCCTTTTTTTAATGCTAAAACATAAAAGTTCCATAAGTAGTTAGTGTTACTTCCACAATGTTAAAGATTCATTCACTTAGGTAATCATCTCTGAGCTGAAACAAAGTAAAACAAAATGAAATAAAATGTATATATGTTTCTTTGTTATTCCTAGGTAGGGTGCATGTTGATAAACCTCATTCAAATAATCTGGAAATATCTGAAGACCTAAGTCACTTAGAGACTCTAAGCAGTGATTTTTATAAATTGGGTAATATCTTCCAGTGACATAAAAGATGATTTAAGTCTATATGTGATACTTAAACATTGTTGCCATTGAATTTTGAACAAATGATGCAACTTGTTTATATAACATCATTAAGTATTAGAGTTAAAAGTAATAATATGGATCATTAAGCCCAATTCGATATCTATGCCATCCCTTAATGAGGGCACAATTTCCCAGACAACTCAAATATTGCACAAATGTCAGATTAAAGAAAATTCTTCTACGATTTTATCTACGTGCTGACCAAAACTAGTTTGGTAAGAATTGAGTCAGTTCACATTCATAATGCATTTTCATAGATTGAAATAATCTGAATTGAAAAAGAAAACTGTTTTCAAAACATTTGCTGTGACTGTTCTATTCCACCATACATAGATGTTTCCAGTTGAAACTGTTTGCTGGCTCTCTCATGCAGATGGCCAGAGGAACCTCTCGGCAGATGGTTTGGAAAACATGCTGTGTCTGTATCCTAACAGCAGTGCTTTCTGGGTGCAAGGTCAGTACTGTTCTCACAGCCTGGGTCAGCAGTGATGACTACCAGAGGCTTCTGGAGGAGCATCTACTGGTCTCCTAAGGGCGCCAGTTCTGAACTTTGAATGATACTGTGGGATTCAATAAACAATAGGGTTTGTTCCTTTTCCTGGCAGTGATTCTTAGACACACATTCTTCTCTTTACTAACATCCTATTCCTTTCCCTTTCCCTTTATATCACTTTATATCCCTATATGACAATATGTAGCATATGTGTGGCAACATAATTATTAGAATAAAATATTGACCATTCACTTTTACCATCAAACCATATATAAATGACACTGGCAAAAATGACGTGAATTTAGAAGACCCACAGATAGTGGAGGCCTTCTAACTGCATTCTGGGTAACCTTTGCTGAGTTTAACCCGATTTTCCTTAGTTCATTCCATTAAGGCCAGGAAATACCATGGAAATCTATAGAACTACATAAGAATGCACTAGAGCTTAATGCAGTTTTAATCTTAAAAATTTTTTTAAATTTTTTTTACTCGTCAGCCCCAAATATTTTCATCTGCTTTTTTGTTTGCATTTTAGTGAGGAGAGATAAATGAATATCAAAAATGATGTTTATATCTTTCTTTTTATTCAAGAAAAATGTATAGGGCTCCTGTTCATGACTAGGTACTAGATAAGGCCCTTATTACACACGATGAACAAAGTAGACATAACCCTTACCCTCATATATTGGTACAGCAAATTGTGTACTCATCGATTACAGTCCGATTTATCCATCCAAACTTTATGATACTCATGTCCAGAAAAACCACACTCTACGTAGTATATATTAGAAGTTTGAAGAAATTTGATTGTCAGAGAATCCTTTAAAATATTATTTAGAAGGGGTGCCTGGCTGGCTCAGTTGGTAGAGCATGAGACTCTTGATCTCAGAGTTGTGAGTTCTAGTCCCACATTGCATGTAGAGATTACTTAAAAATCTTAAAAAATATATTGTTTAGAAAAGATGCAAAGCTTCAATCTTAATGAAAACACCAAAAAACAAATATTTAAATCACATTCTTCTATTGTTATTCATTACATTTTTCCACAATAAAATGCAACTTATGAACCTTACTTATTTCTAACCCTATCTTTATCTGTACATGATTGTAAATGAAATTAGGAGAAATTATGTCATTCTATTATCCAATGCCATACATTTATATTTTTATTGGCACTGAAATAAGACTTTGTATCTAGGAAGATAAATGTGCTGAAAATGCCTATATTTGGCTATTATATTTGGTATATAATATTGTGCACATATAATTCAAATGATTAAATTTCTGTAGCACATTGTGCACATGTAATTCAAATGTAATTCAAATGCAATTTTTTAAGATTTTATTTATTTACTTGAGAGAGAGAGAGCACACGAGAGAGTGAGGACAAGCTGGGGGAGAGGCAGAGGGAGAGGGAGAATCAGACTCCCCGCCGAGCAGGGAGCCCGATGCGGGGCTCCATCCCAGGACCCTGAGATCATGACCTGAGCCAAAGGCAGATGCTTAACTGACTGAGCCACCCAGGCACCCCTGCAATTAAAATTCTATAACACAAAGTAAACCATATCATGTAATATTTTTTCTTTGTCTTTTTTTTTTAAATTTTTATTTATTTGAGAGAGAGAGAATGAGAGAGAGCGAGTACATGAGAGGGGGGAGGGTCAGAGGGAGAAGCAGACTCCCTGCCGAGCAGGGAGCCCGATGCGGGACTCGATCCCCGGACTCCAGGATCATGACCTGAGCCGAAGGCAGTCACTTAACCAACTGAGCCACCCAGGCGCCCTTTTTCTTTTTTTTTAACAGTCCTAAAAAAATAGTATGTCAAGGAGCATTTACTTTTGTTAGCACCATAATATTCAAAAGAGTTTCCTCTTATTTGGTAAGAATTTTCCTTTTTCTATTTCTATAGAAAAATGATATGCCTAAATAAAAATTTTAAACAGACAATTCTTAATTTTCAAAATTTAAATGTATATATTAATTTATTAATAGCTTTATATGGAGATACAGTTAGAATAAATTTCATTCCAAAATTACGTTGGTGGCCATATACAAACAAAAATTCTGATGTTTTAGTGACTACCATTTATTAACTAGGCAGTTACTATTCTCTAGCTCTGTTCCCTGCGTAGTGACATATTAAACTGATACTGCTATTGAGAGAACTGAAAACTCATTAGATTAGATAGACTTAACAAAAACAATCCAAAACCACGGATTTAAAAAACCAACAACATAAAATCACAATATATATTATGTGTTACAAACTGCTTTATTCATGGAAAATAACTTTCAAAATCCAAAGTGAAAAAAAAATTAAAGATTATAAATCTAATGATTAATAAATAAAATTCAATATGATATACAACTATATTTTTTTATAGAAAGCAATATCAAGTGGGCTTTTAAAATGAACTCATTGCTACAAATACGTGCTTTTCTCAGTATCAGACCACTCTATAACTTGTCCAGTGTCAATAGCATTAGTCTTCCAAATGACAGATTCTAAAAAGGAAGAGGGACAAGTCAGTCTGGCAAGTGAGCTAAAGTTAAGGAACATCAGAGTAAGTAGCATGGATCATTTGACTGGAGAGCCATCTCACTGAGTTTGTTTTATGTTACCCTATAACAGAACACCTACTTTCACATACAGAACAGAAAAGCTCTAAGGAAAAAGAAATCCTGCGCGTGCGTGCACGTCACCATCTCTAGTAAGTGCAATTAAATTTATTTGATTTTCTAACTTCGGCTTTTCAGAAAACTAAAAGCATGGCTCTGTCAACTAAGCACAGGTACATTAAGATCATGAAACCTAAGTCTAGTTTTTCATTTCTATGTGGTCCAATATAGGCAATTTAATTTTTATGGGTCAAGTGCATCATTTATAAAAATAGGAGGTGATAGTATTAGGCTCCCTCTGAGACCCACTGTGAGAAACAGCTTATTAGCAATAGTGTAGAGCTTTGAAAATATAAAGTGTTTAATATAGTTAATCAACTGGGAAGCAGGTTTCTTCGTTTATAATTAAACACTCTTTTTCAGCGAATAATTTACAATAGTTCACGCAATGTTAATTTAAAGTCATTTGCTGCTAACCAGTTAAGATTTCAAATGCTTAAAATCAATCTGCGATTAGTACCAGAGTATAACAAGAATCCAATAGACATAACAAGACTCTATAGAACTAAAGAAATTCTACGTAAAAAGAAAGGAGAAATCCCTTTTCCCAAATGCAATTTCTTAGTCTGACTATTGAAAATCCCCTAACACCAGCCTGAGAGAACATTAGATTTAGCTTAATGTATCATAAATTGTGATGGATGAACCTCAAAAGGTACTTGTTTAGTCTGGCAGTTCATGTAAAGAATTGGCATCAAGCTGAGCCTCTGTTTTGGATAATCAGTTTAGAAACACTGCCAAATAACCCATAGCCCCGTTTTTTTAATATTGTGAGAACTGAATACAATCTTGGCCCACATTCACTTTTGACAAGTTACTCGTGAGGATATTCTAGCTGCACTTAAAGGTGCTCTGCGAACAGAATGAAACCAGTGTATTAAAGCAAGGCCCCTGCAAAGATCTGGGTGGGGCTTGCTGCTGACCTTTCCCTAGAGGTAAAAGTGTGTTTTTGCCCATGAATGTCTACAGTTCTGAAAAAGACTTCCATTATTTAAAATTAGATTACTTCTTGAGTTTATCTTTGAAAGAGAGACTACTGGCTTTGGAGAAGTCTGTGCCTGTGGCCTCCAGGAATATAAGCTCAATACAGATGAAGGCAAAGAGGAGGCTATGAGACTGTATCCTGCCTGTAACTACAGACTTAAAATTATGAAATGCACTGATGTTTGTCAAATGTTCTACAAGTATACAGCACACAGTAGTTCCAATAAAATATAATTTGTAGATAGAACAAAAAGTGATATTAAATTAAATGACATTAAACATGTTTTATATTTTTAATGAGGAAGCATCTCTTTGCAGATATGAAATATCAGATGTCAGCTTTTTAACCTCTGCTAAGAATCTCTCTTAGGAGAATGATGAGACGCAGAGTGACCACTGTCCACTCTTCTAAGTAGTTAAATTAGTTAAAAATCTCCAAGTATACCAATTCTTATAATATCAGTAGGATTCTGGACAACATGAAAACTGGATCTAGAAATCATTAATCATGTCATCAGACAAATAAAAAAATTGATTTTCTACTTATT